GTAAAAAATACCGATTATTTGAATTTTTTTACATAATGAAGAACTGATCATTGGAACCATGTCTTCCAACCTTTCTTTCGTTCGTAACTGTTCAATAATTTTGTGAGATATCGAACTGCTAGAGTAGTTTGTTCGTAGACCTGCATTGCTTTTAAAATACCTATCCATTGTCCTAATCCTTTGGTTCTTAATAGGCGGCCCGCGGTCCAAGTTTGGCCAGTGAAGCAAATTATTCTGGCCCGCGATAAAAAAAATAAAATAATAAGAAATTTTTTTTAATGAAACTAAAAGTAATGACATTCGATGAATATTTTTAAAATAAAGTGAAGGCCAAAACACTGGGCCAATGTGAAGTAGGGGTGACCCCACACAGATCAGAATTGAATCCACCAATCGACATGAAACGCGAAAAGATTGGTAGTCTTGGTTCAGCTAAGTATGACATAATAGATTAAAAATGAAAACTTTATCATGAGACTTGTTTTTATTATGAGTAGACCCAAGATTTTACAGGCGAAGTGTTTTTAGACTTTAAAGCCTTGGTATTTGTTGGATATTGGATGGTAAAATTACACAGAAAATATCGATTTTTTACGATTAGGCCTATGCCTGTAACTTCATGTTTGGTTTGAAAATACTCCTACAGGATTAGTCCGACTACCAGGGATTTGTTGTTGTATGGACGCCCTAGCAGGTAACAATATTTGGTAAGGCGTAAACGATGAGAAGCAAATTACATAAGAATCAAATTCAATATGATATAAAAAAAAAAAAAAAAAAAACCACTTTGTTGAATAAAAGCCCAATTCAGGAACGATATTTCGCACACCGTTACACGTGTACAAAGAAAGGAAGACATGACAAGTTCTATTACCAGTCACCGACAACATTAAACGTCCGGCAACCCTGCAAAATATTTTGGCGACTCTAACTTGGGTCGCGAACGATAGTTTGAACTCCAGGGCCTAAAAACACCAAAATGAATGGAAATTTAAATAGGCCAAGGCCTATATAGAATATCCACGAATTATGAGTTTCAGAAATAGATTAAAAACGGCCTCAAAATGCTACTCGAGCTTCTCGACCTCTGGACCCAGCGGGGGACATAACCAGTCTCAACATCGCAGGCGCAGCCCCTCCCCCACCCTCACAAACACACACTCGAAAATCCTACACGGGCCTCACTGGGTTTTCCGAGAAGAGGAAAATGTTAGAAGACCTACTTACCGTCGATTGTTGCCGTTTCAACAGAATGATACTGTCGTTATTAATCCATGTTATTTATAAGATCTAACTACAACACTATCTGAAATACTTTGTTTAATAATCAAGGATTTACGTCATGTAGATGATTAATTATCCATATTACTATCTTTCATATTAATGTTTTATCTAAGAAACTAATTACAGTATCATGTTGGTGTTGACAGGTACTGTAGATTATCAAACTCTAATGATAAAATAGGAGGCCTTATTTGGCACTAAAAAAAAATCGAATATAGGCCTCAACTTGCTCAACAGTTATAAATACTATTACGGTGGCAAATTCAAGAGGATTCAGTTTCCCCCTCCCCCATTTTTTTTTTGCTTGGGCACCTCAATTAGTGTGGCCATCTCATCGAGCTTTGCTCTTATTGGTCATTCCATACCGTTTGCTGTTATTCATTTTATGAAAATGTATCTCGATAGATTTCTTCAAACGGTGAATAAATTTGAACTTGAATTTGAACTTGAATTTGAACTTTGAACTTCCCTCCCCCATTTAATTACCATCAAATCTAAGTCTGAGAGTGCTATTTCCAGCCATCTAGAGGTGACATAATCATACATTAAAACAAGATGGCCGCCATTTATGATCTGTGAGAGTATCACCATTGGACAGGTTGACATTGAGAACATAGTGTTTGCTACCAAAATCATGTCGATACCTACTCTAATAGCGCAGTTATGGTTACTTTTACTGTAAAAATGGCGGCAATTTTGAAATTCCAAAAGGGCCGCCAAGACAATCACGGAAAAAAAGGACCTTTGCATTTTTGGATTCAGCATACCAAAAATATCCGGAAAATGCAATAAAATCGCTTTGGGCAAGCCTATCTCGCGAACCTGTTTTTTGGACATTCAGTTTCTCACTAAAGTGTTTTGCTCAAAGACACAAGCGAAATGCAACGGATTGAAACCCCGACCTCGAGGTTGGGAAACCAAACCGCTCCCCTGCGCCAAACCGCTTCATCTCCACAATGACTAGACCCTCCATCTGTGAAAGTTCCTCCCTGGGCCTCTTCATTTCATATTCCTGGATCTGCCACTGTATAAAACCACTCAAAAAAGTAATATTTAAGTTAATCTCAAGTCACTTTCAGGTTTAATAAGTAGAGAAAAGAAGAAAGAAAACAATAAGCCTTGTTCAGTGATTTTTTTTAAACGCATTAAAATTGTAAATGTTTAATACGTTGATATTTTTCAAATATATTTAACCTGTTTCCTTCTAAATAATATAACATATGTAACATTTATATCATTTTGTTAATCTTGTTTTGATCATGTTAAGTGTCCAGTTTGCATGGGAACCTAAGCAGCTAGTGCTGTGTTGATACGTAAACAAGTATGCCAGATAACAGTTCACTTGAATTATCCTCAAAGTAGATACCATCAATACACGAGTGTACCAAAATAGAACCCTTGAGTCCTAACGCAATTTATCAAGGCTGCATT